ATTTGACTGACCCATTCAGTCGGTTCAGTAACTGGTTCCAATACGCCTTTGCTTACCAGCCGATCCAGTTCCTGTTTGACATCATTTTCAATGGCTAATGGTACTTTACGACATGGGAGTACTTTGGGGGGTACAGACTCATTCACCCTCAGAGATGCCACTCCCAGGTCACCCAGTGGAGGAGTAGACACTTTTGAAATGAAGGCATTACAGTTGATGGTTATAAAACCAAGTTCCTGTATAGTATTCAGGCCAAGAAGATTAGTAAAGCCGTTAGGAACTACAATGAATTTGACTTCATGTTGAGTGTTGTCACTTGGATTAGTGGTAGTTAAAGAAGTTTCACCCAGAGGTTTGAGATTGGTCTTGTTCCACATGTTGAGACGAATGTTTGTTGGAGATACTTGCTGCCTTCCAACATGTTTTTGGCAAATTGTATTTACGTCAGCAGCACTGTCCAGTTGGAATTTCACGATATGGTCATTGATAGAGAGATTTGCTGTGACTCCAGTTTCCTCATCATTAATGGCGAAAAGCCATTTGTCATCAAAGTCATTATTAGGGTCATTATGATCCTCCGATTGAGACACAACAGCATGTACTTTCTTCGAACATTTGGATTTGAAATGGTTCAGGCCTTTGCAATTATCGCATGTCTTACCCCAAGCTGGGCATTTTTCTCGTTTTCGTTCATGTTTGTATCCACAATATTTACAATCAAACTGTAAATTGTCATTACCTGCCTTCGACATGCTGCTCTTGTTGGATCTGGTTCTCCTGTCTTGCAGTTTTGGGTTGGATTTCTTGGAGACTTTGTTCAGATTAGATGGAGTTGAATGTGAGGCGCTTCCGATGTTGTTTTTAAGCTCCTTTACTTGTTTATTTGATTGCTCGAAAGCTCTGCATATTTTCAGGGTTTTGTCGAGTGTGAGGTTGTCTTCTCTCAATAGAAGCTCTTGTAGTTTTCCAGTCACTGTGAAGACGATTTTGTCTCTCAGCATCCTATCCTTTTCAAGAAAGTTGCATGCGGTGATTCTTCTTTGTAGCTCAGTGAATAATTTGTCGAAGGGCTCTTGATACTCGATGTTCCAGAAGCGATGTGATTCCATCACCTCGTTGTCTCGTGGGTTGCAGTATTTTTCGAGTGCTTCGAAGACTTTTTCGGGGTCATCTTTATCTCCTTCCTCGTTCCACGTCAAATTATCGTATACTTCGAGGACATCGTTTCCAGCACAATTCAAGATGATTGCTGTTTGGATTTGCTTTTCCTTCGCCGTCGCTCCAGAAGCGGCTAAATACACTTCGACTTGTCGTCGCCATCGTTTGAAGTTTTCTGAGATATTTCCAGAATTTATGTCGAGTTGGGGCGGTAGACGAAAATTCCCTGTCGCCATGATTGAATTTTACAGTCCCGTAGTTGCCACCATGTTGATTTGTAGAGTTGACCAAAGGCAAGAAGTACTAAGCGGCAAGCGAAGCGCACTAGAATTCTACAACACAACTGCCACATTTATTTCACCTCGTGGTCTATCGTTATTTAAGATAATTTATTCTGACAACCAGATGAGATAGCCAATCAACAGCTTATGATCAGTACCACCATTTGCAATGAGGAAAATAGATGTATTGTAAACTGTGACTTTTTTTTAACTTTGATTCAGGTTTGTTAAAACAATGAAATTCATTCAAGCTACCAGTGAGATAGATTATAAGAACTTGGGAATGGATTGTTAATAAATCATACTTCTTGTTTTATATGCTCCTAATAAAATCAAACTTTTATACCCTTTTGAAACAACTCTTTCTACTTTCCTGAAACCCTAAAGTGTGTCAGCCAAGAGTATTTTACGAGTAGACACTAGTTGATGACCAATTAACTAAAAAGGGCCAATTATTTTTCATGAAAGGGACTTTATTTAGACAGTCCTTTAGTTGTCACTAAAACCTCTTACCCTTGTGACTGCATTGAAAAGTCAAATGAAATATAGATGGCTACAATTTTGCAATGACAACAAATTTAAAGGAAAATTGCTTTCTGTCATTGTTAGGTGAACACGCACTAAAAAATCTTCATCAAATGACATGAGATAATTGAGATATTATTCTATAATACAAAATGTACACTGGATGCTATGTGATTAATCTCCTCAATGATGAATTGACTTAATTGATTACAGTTTCAGTTTTTTTCTACATGCTTTTANGCTAACATGCCTGAAGTGGGTCTTCATTTTATGGGAATTACATGATGAAACAACTGGCTTGTTAATTCACTGGCTTCCACTCCACAGCAAAGTTTATAGCACTCTAGCTCTCTTACAATTTCACATACTGAAATGTTTCTGACTGAACTATGGTGAGTAAAACAGATGGGATGACCAAAAGCTTTCACAGTGTGTGCAAAACTGTCATCGATCATTATTTCTTCTTCTGGGAGAAGGAAAGGTTCTATAATCTTTTTCAGAATAAGTCTGTCTGACATTGTTTTCAAGTTCCACCCTTTCAGGGTTTTCAAGCCAGTGATTCGCTGGCACAATTCACCAAACGACTTGTAACATGCCTTGGGTTGTTGATCGTGCTCCTCAACAACCGATCGAGCAGGTCTTGGCGTACGCCTTGCAGACTCGTGACTTTTTCTTGGCATGTTTAATGCTCGTCATTTTCGCCGTTTTAACTGCATTTGAAAATATAGTAAAACACAAATAAGAAAAATGAAAATTAACCTTCAAGAAAATTTCACAGAGATCGTAAATAAACAAAACCATATGGAAAGCAAGAGGATGTCTTCAATTTCTACTGTAAGCTTATATCGCAGCCGCACTTACATACTTCAAAATCTTCTACGTCGAAGTGTTTTACACAGGTAGACACCTTGTCGTTTCGATCCTTTTTCGAAATTCATGGTCGATCTCACGCGTCTTTTTGATATCACTCAACCAATCATCCTGCCATTTCTTGTGTGCCTCGTCCTTTGCTGTCGGCAACTCCCAAATACCGATTCTTATCGTTCTTCTACAACTCCCACAGCCAGACACAGCGCGGTTATTTCAAGGCATGACGACTAATGAGTAGTGCAGCTGTAACACTCATCGAATTGAGATTAATCTAAGCTAAAAATCGGGCGAAATACAGCGTAAGTCTCCGCACATTCACGTCACTCCGATCGCCATGTTGATTTTCTTTGTGCACGGTCATGATCACGTAACATTTTACCATCGCAATAAACAACTGGACACATGTTTAACATGGATGTGACATTTTAAGTTCAAGTAATCAATATCAATATCTGGGCACAGAATACGCGCTGTATGAAAAGAGTTACTTTCAACACAGACCCCTAACAATAAGATACTAAGATAAGTTGCAACATCTGCCTACAGCTCATCTTGTAAGACATATTGATTAAAACCCACGGATGTAAGAAACAACAAACGATATCAACATCTGGGCACAGCCCATTCATGTAAGACACCCTGATATAAACCCCTGAAAGTAAGGACCAACGATCAATATCAACATCTGGGCACAGCACCTTCGTGTAAGACACCCTGATATAAACCCCTGAACGTAAGGAACAACCATCAATATCAACATCTGAGCACATTCTTTCATATAAAACACAATGATATAAACCCCTGAATGTAAGACCCCTGATTGTAAGAACCCCGACTGTAAGACCCCTGATTGTAAGAACCCCTGATTTTAAGAACCCCTGACAGTAAGACCCCTGATTGTACTGATTGTAAGAACCCCTGATTGTAAGAACCTCTGATTGTAAGAACCCCTTACTCTAAGAGCCCCTAATTGTAAGAGCACCTAATTTTAAGAACCCCTCACTGTAAGACCCCTGATTGTACTGATTGTAAGAACCCCTGATTGTAAGAACCCCTGATTGTAAGAACCCCTGACTGTAAGAACCCCTGATTGTAAGACCCCTGATTGTAAGAACCCCTGACTGTAATACCCCTGATTCTAAGAACCCTTGATTTTAAGAACCCCTGACTGTAAGAACCCTGATTTTAAGAACCCCTGGTTGTAAGAACCCCTGATTTTAAGGCCTCTGATTGTAAGAACCCTTGATTGTAAGAGCCCCTGATTATAAGAACCCCTGATTTTAAGAGCCCTGATTGTAAGAACTCCTGATTGTAAGAACCCCTGACTGTAAGACCCCTAATTGTAAGAACTCCTGATTGTAAGAGCCCCTGACTCTAAGACCCCTAATTGTAAGAAACCATGATTGTAAGAGCCCCTGATTGTAACAACCCCTGACTGTAAGACCCCTGATTGTAGGAGCCCCTGACTGTAAGAGCCCCTGATTGTAAGATCCCTGATTGTAAGAACCCCTGACTCTAAGACCTCTGATTGTATGAACCCCTGATTTTAATAACCCCTGACTGTAAGACCCCTGATGGTAAGAGCCCCTGATTGTAAGAACCCCTTATTGTAAGACCCCTGATTGTAAGAACCCTTGACTGTTAGACCCCTGATTGTAAGTACCCCTGATTTTAAAAACCCCTGACTGTAAGACCACTGATTGTAAGAACCCCTGATTATAAAAACACCTGACTGTAAAAATCCCTGATTGTAAGACCCCTGATTGTAAGAACCCCTGACTGTAACACCCCTGATTGTAATAATCCTGATTGTAAGAACCCCTGACTGTAAGACCCCTGATTGTAAGAACCCCTGATTGTAAGAACCCCTGATTGTAAGAACCTCTGATTGTAAGAACCCCTTACTCTAAGAGCCCCTAATTGTAAGAGCACCTAATTTTAAGAACCCCTCACTNAGAGATTATAAGAACCCCTGATTTTAAGAACCCCAATTGTAAGAACCCCTAATTGTAAGAACCCCTAATTGTAAGAACCCCAGACTGTAAGATCCCTGATTGTAAGAACCCATGATTGAAGGAAACCCTGAGTGTAAGAACCCCTGACTGTAAGAACCCTGATTGTAAGAACCCCTTATTTTAAGGCCTCTGATTGTAAGAACCCCTGATTGTAAGAACCCCTGATTATAAGAACCCCTGATTTTAAGAACCCCGATTCTAAGAACTCCTGATTGTAAGAGCCCCAGACTGTAAGACCCCTGATTGTAAGAACCCCTGATTGTAAGAATTCCTGATTGTAAGAACCCCTGACTGTAAGAGGCCCTGATTGTAAGAATCCCTGAATGTAAGAAACCCTGATTGTAAGAGCCCCTGATTGTAAGAGGCCCTGACTGTAAGAAACCCTGATTGTAAGAACCCCTGATTGTAAGAAACCCTGATTGTAAGAATCCCTGATTGTAAGAATTCCTGATTGTAAGAACCCCTGACTGTAAGGCCCCTGATGTAAGAACCCCTGATTGTAAGAGCCCCTGGCTGTAAGAGCCCCTGATTTTAAGAACCCCTGACTTTAAGAAACCGTGATTGTAAGAACCCCTGACATTGCTGAGACCCCTTACTGTAAGAACCCCTGATTGTAAGACCCCTGATTGTAAGAACCTCTGACTGTAAGACCCCTGATTATAAGAACCCCTGACTGTAAGACCCCTGATTGTCAGAACCCCCGACTATAAGAACCCTAAATGTAAGGCAATTCCTGAGTGGAAGGCTTTTATCTGGTTTTAAGGTATAAATTTGAAGCTCGAACATAAACCAGAAATTTACAACTCTTTTATGATATGTATTAAGACCCTTGACGATGTGAATCAAACATAAAACCCTGAAAGTATGATACACGTTTTAGGACCAATGGGTTGAATACAATCACTTTTGATATATTTGTTGAGAGGTCAGGGTTTAGGGTTAACAATAGTTTAAAATGTATATGAAAATGTTGCTTATTCGAATCCATTGTTTGTAATATTGAAAAGCACAGAAACCCATTTGGGATCATAACTATTGTCAGTAGCAAACCTGCTCATTCCCGCAGTCTATCAGGCAAAAGGCAAAGAGATTGGAATAAGCCTAGTAAGTAATTAAAAGGGTCATTGCAAATATGTTTCCAAAGTTTATTCGAAATTTATTAAAAAATTACAGATATTGAATACACTTTGCCTAGTGCTAAACCTGGACCTTGTTCACTTTGATTTTATTTGTATTGACAGCATTAACATACATGCAAATAGACAAACTATCAATAATATATCTCATTACGTTTTTTGAAGAAAGGAAGGGAAATGAAGTTTAACTTGGATAAAACTCTCACCTACCACTTGCATTACAACTAAGTTTGTTTGAAAAATTTATCCATGCAATATAAACAAGAAGAGTTTAATGTTTTCTACAGATTAATATTGAGATGATGACACTCAATATAGGCACAGTGCCTACTTCCTAACAACCTATGAGCCACTCATTCTTTGAGACACTCAACAAACTCCTTACATCTGAAATTCATGTCATTAAAAA